AAACAAACAAGCAAAAATTGACAGTTCAAGAACAGAGAGACCTCAGAGTTGGTGGGATCCTAGCTTGTCTGTATTGAGGACTCAAAGGAATGTAGATCCCTGTGCTTGTCAGACTGAAGCTGTCCTGCAGCTCATGAAATGTAGTCTCCTCTGTTTCTTCCTTGCATGAGTATACCTAGCACTCATAGCTGCCCCTGTGAGCTGTGAATATGTTTGAGTGTTGGAATCGAAACATCAGACACAGTTTGTTTTGTTTTGTTTTTCCTGCTGGCCATGAATCTGTTTTCTTTGCTGGGATCTAAGACAGGCCTTGTCTTCATCGTGGAAGAAGTTTCCACACACCCACTAAATGGATGGATGTTTTCTTCCCTCTAGACAAACCTGATACAAAACTAAAGTCGAGCAAGAAGAGAAATGTCATTCCGAAGATCATCGTCACTCGAGCCTCAAATGAGACACTAATCAGCTATGGTATCCCTGACAGTGAAGATCAGAGAACCATTCAGGAACATGCTGATTGGGGCCCCTACTACCGACACAGGAGCCCCAGCACAATAGCAGCCTATAATGAACCCCACACAGAATAAACGAGAGCTCCCGCTAGCTGTGACTGTTTACTGTGATCTGAGCGTCAGCTAGGCTGACAGAAGGGCCACCCTTCCCTGTGCTGGTGCTGAATGCCCTTCTCCAGTCTTTGAAGTTCTGTCTCAGTGACTATTTTAGTTTTTCCCAAAGTCAGAGGCAGCTTGATGGGGAGAGGGTGGCTGGCCTCAGAGAGGAAATCTGGAGGTCCTGAAGGTCTGACTAGCGTGTGTGTTGGGAATAGCCAGGCCTGCAGTGGTAGACATCAGGCAGCAGCTCACACTGTGACTCGGGTGGGCATTTAAAATCCTCTCTGCTCATTTGCTCCTGAAGGTGTGTGCTGGAAGCACTTGGAAGTTAGTAAATGACATGCCCCCAGATCTGGGGAAAAAGCCAGTCTGAGAACTAACTGTTACGTTCAAGAGCAGAGAGGCCTCAGGGCTGGTGGGATCCTAGCTTGACCGTCTGTATTAAAGACTCAAAAGAATGTAATGTGTCCTTGATCTGAGGAGGGCAGCAGGGCACTTACGACTTTTGTTGTACCCATTTCTCGAAACCCCCAGAGACCACCAAGGAGCCAGTTCCCCATGCAATCACATAAGGGTCCTTGTATTCAGGTTCAACCTGGGCCACCGCACGGCAGATGGAAGGAACTGTGGCGGGGGCCACGAGCCCAGGTGTAGAGAGTTTTTATAGGGAAAAAAAACCACAAGCCAGGAATTGGCAACTTGGGATTGGGTAGAAGGGATATGGGGCAAGGTGATTTTTTGAAACTATTGGTCTTTGGGCGTGAAACCACATTTGAAACCATTGGGTTAGATTTTTGGCGGGGAACCACAACCTACTGAACGGGATTATCTGGGCTGCTCAGCAGGATTATCTAGATATCTTCATATCTAGATATGGGCCATAAACTGCAGACAGGATGTCTGCAGGAGCAAACGGCTCTGTATCTGTTCCAGTTGTCAGGGCACATTCCTGAGGTCCTTCCTGGAACTGAGTACAGCAGGTGGTCTGAGATGGTGGCCCTTCCCCTAAGATGGAGCCTGTAAAGTCAGGTCTAGACATTCACACTTTGACAGTAGCCCTGGAATACTGTCTTGTCTTCCTGGCCCGTGGATGAAGGGTCTATAGAGAAGGTCACTAGGAGTGCCAACATGCTGCCGTAAGACATCTTTGCAGCTGACTCCGCCCTCACTAGCAAACTTCAGATCAGATTGGATGTTGAAAGAATACCCGTCCCAGCCTCGTTTCTCACATGTGGTCTAGTAGCAGTCTATTTTTTTCATTAATTGCCATCCATATTGGTTGGCCTCTGTGGGCTAACAAAACCAGAGACACTGGTATCCCCACCGGGATCACAAACACAACCTTCTCCTGTACTAGGGTGAGGGGATCTGTTGCCTATGACACATGTCTGTCAACAGTTGCCTTTTTTTTTTTTTAACTTTATTTCATGTGCTTTGGTATGAAGGTGTCAGATCCCCTGGAACTGGAATTACAGGCAGTTGTGAGCTGCCATGTGGGTGCTGGGAATTGAACCTGTGTCCTCTGGAAGAGCAGAAAGTGCTCTTAACTGCTGTGCCATCTGTCCGACCCCAGTTTCTAATATATACAGGAGGCCAGCTAGCATATAAAGTATGTATTATACTATCTAGTACATCCTTGCAGGCCTGACAATATATGTTCATATACAGAACCTAAATGACTTTGAAAAATGATTTGTGTATGTGATACTGAGTAGTGAGTCTAGGAATTCACGCAATGCTAGGCAGATAGATGCTGTATCACTGAGTTTGTATTTTCAGATTATTTTTTGAGACAGGGATGATAGGGTCTCACATCCAATCCAGTCTGGACTAGAACTCACTATGTAGCCCAGGTCAGCCTTGAACACACAGCAATCCTCTCTTGACTACTGGGATTACAGGTGTGTGACAACATACCCAGAGAAAAACAATTTTCAAAGTGAAAAAAAATGTAAAAAGGCAAACAATCTGGCAGAAATCTTACTTCAAAAAAATTACGTTAGGGGCTGGAGAGATGGCTCAGAGGTTAAGAGCACTGACTGCTCTTCCAGAGGACTTGAGTTCAAGTCCCAGCACCCACATGGCAGCTCACAACTGTCTGTAACTCAAGATCTGACCCCTTCACACAGACATACATGCAGCAAAACACCAATACAAATAAAAAAATAAGTAAATCAATTATATTTTAAAAAATTACGTTAGAGCTGGGCGGTGGTGGCCCACACCTTTAATCCCAGCACTCGGGAGGCAGAGCCAGGCGGATCTCTGTGAGTTCCAGGCCAGCCTGGGCTACAGAGTGAGTTCCAGGAAAGGTGCAAAGCTACACAGAGAAACCCTGTCTCAAAAAACAAAACAAAACAAAAAAAATTATGTTAGAGACTTGCGAATGAAAGCCTTCTTTTATTTTGAGATAGCCAGGCTATGCATCCTGTTCTGGCTTGGAACTCAGAATCTTCTGGCCTCAGCCTACAGAGTGGTCAGATTACAGGATTACAGGCATATGCTACCATGTCCAAACACCAACTACAGCATTGACGGAAGTATAGTACCCACATGGGCCTGGGCTCTGAGCACTGAGAAGCCCGAACATTCACTTTCCTAATCTATATAAACCTTCCACAAAGGATTAGAGACAAATGATGTTCTGAGTTCCATTACACAGTTCAAGAGCTGAGTGCGCCTCACAGAACCTCCTGGGCTAGAGTTGCCCTCCAGTGGCCAGTGCATTAATTCCTTCCCAGCGGTCTCCCAAACCAGGAAGGCAAATGTGGAGTAGAAAGGAAGAACAGGAAAGCATCTCTTTACTTCCTCGTCTACTATGTACACCCTTTCTGTACAAGGCTTCTGTCTTGTCCTTGACTAGTGATGGGAAAAGGTTGGCCTCAGGAATGTCTGGGTTCCCACAGAGCCAGTGTTCGGAGAATGTACCCAACCACTATCAAAAAGCACTGTTCTTTTGCGGTAGTCTCCTTGAAGAGCAGAAAGCATTGCTGATGTGCTGGAATTGGTCTCACTTAAATGGGAGATAGGAAAGGGAAGCATTTTCTTCCAGCTGATCAGAAGCAGAGTCCTCTGCAGGTTTAGCCAGGGATGGTACTTAAAGCAACTTTGTGGGGTTGTGTCTGCACCTAACGCTGAAAAGGGACCGAAACTTCCGCGAATGAGCAGATCCGGAGTGGCGACCCTCCAGTGAATGCTTAGGTGATGTTCCCAGGGTTGGCCAAGTCCAGAACAAACCGGAAGTACGTTGTGCGCCTGCGCTAAGGGGCGGTTCACGCCTGCGCGCTGGAAGTGGGTGGCGGGGCGGCACCGGCTTCGGCATGGCGGAGGTGGACCTAGAGTCAGATCAGATTCGACTGAAGTGTATCCGTAAGGAAGGTTTCTTCACTGTGCCTCCAGAACACAGGGTGCGACGGGGTGCCACGTGGGCGGCGCTGTGGCTGGGCCAGACGCAAGCGCTCTGGGGCTCTCATTGTCGCGTTAAAGTTTGAGGTTCGGGCATCAGAGGGATGTCAGTCCCAGAGTTGGCTGCGGCGTGTACAGAAATCCGCAGCCAAGCGGCTGTGGGCGCGGGGCACTCGGGGCACGCGGGTGGGATCCGACCGAGTGCGAACTCGGGTGAGGCGGCGGGGTGGGGCGTGGAGTTTTGGCGGGTGAGAAGAATGGGACGTTCCCGGTGGCACCCACAGCTGGAAGTTCTCACCTTGCTGGCCCATCTGCTTTACCCACATTCTTGTATTGTCCCTTTTGTGTGAACCTTAGGGGCGCTGATTTGTGCTCAAGTAGACAGTTGGTGGAAAGGGGCTTGCCGCAGCCCACATATGCTTATGTTATAAGCCACACTTCTTGTTTATGGTTTGCAAGGCCAAGGCACGTTAACCTCAGTTCACTAACGGGGAGCTTCAGAGCACTGCTGGAAGCTGAGGCTGCAAACTCCGCTCTTAAAGGGGGAGCATGCACACAATAGTGTACAGTAGTTGGCTCCTCAAGACAAAATGTCAAGTATGCGCGCTGGCCTGTACTTGTAACCCCAGTATTCAGGAGGCTGAGGCAGGATGATCACCCCAAGTTGGAGGGCAGCCTGGGCTACAGAGTGAGACCTCAAAAACAAGCAAAGATTAAAAAAAAAATAATGGAGATTTCGGAGAAAAGAAGTATAGTCTGTAAGAGATATGTAGAAGAGTTGACATTTGTTTTGGACCAGAAGTGTAACCAGGATTTGAACAGATCTGACAAGGAATGGCATGCCAAACTCAGGTGGCAGTCATGGTGAAGGGAAGTGCAGAGTAAACAAGAAGTCTAAGGGGAGAGGAGTGTGAGAAGCTAGATTAAAGAGTGGATTGTGGAGATGGTTCAGAGGTTAAGAGCACTGGCTGTTCTTCCAGAGGTCCTGAGTTCAATTCCCAACAACCACATGGTGGCTCACAACCATCTATAATTAAATCTGATTCCCTTTCCTGGTATGCAGGCATACACTGTATACATAAAATATGTATACTGTATACATAGTAAATAAATAGATCTTTTAAAAAAGTGGATCATTAAAAGCATCAGGTATCAGAACTTAACAAAACCCAGGGAAGCCAGGCTGGGCGGTGGTGGCGCACGCCTTTAATTCCAGCAAGCAGATATCTGAGTTTGAGGCCAGCCTGGTCTACAGAGGGAGTTCCAGGACAGCCAGGACTACACACAGAAACCCTGCTCGAAAAAAAACCGAGGGGGTGGGGAGACAGACAGACAAGCAAAGCCAGCTGGGAACTGGCATAATAGAATCCTAACATTGCTGAGGTCCCTCTGTATTCAAGAAGTGCTTATTTAATCCACCTACAAAGGCACTGCACTGAAGATGTATTAGGTTACAGAATCCCCAGTGAGACCCCAGAATACTGTGGCTTAAGCAAGCTATTTCTCTAACCCCTAAAATTCTAGAGGCTACCAATTCTGTTCTGTTGCTCCACCTGACCTCATCTTCATCCCAGCCTGCAAAAGGAAGTGGACCCGCTAGCTTCCATTGATCTGGAAGTCCCTTCTCAGATCTCACAAATGATATCCCCGGATAGGTTTCCTCACAAGTAAGAAGTTGTGACTGCATGTTGGAGGCAGGATCCTTCTCCACAGAGGCCATTTGTTACTAGACAGCAGACATCTGGAACACCGAATTGGAGGGAGTAATTAGGTCTCTTTCAATACTTCAGAGTGGTTCCAGTGTCTTTCTTCCCCTCTGCTCATCAGGAAATTCCAAGTATGTGGTTGCTTTTCTGTTTGGTGAGCAAGATGTAAGCAAGCTTCTCAGTGCCAGATGTGGGTGAGATCCATCATCACTTGTGCTGTTAGCTTCCGTATCACCACACTGGCTACGCTTCTGTCTTTCAGCTTGGAAGATGCCGGAGCGTTAAGGAGTTTGAGAAGCTGAACCGAATTGGCGAGGGCACCTATGGCATCGTGTGTGAGTGGTCAGGGCAGGAATCTTGTAGCTACAGCTATGTGGGAATGGAAGGCTCATACTCTGTACTCCAAACCAGGCTAAAGCTTGCTCCCAAACTTTAACTCCTGGTGTGACTTCCACAAAACTTACACCATGACTGGATAAAGCGTCAGGTTGCTGATGTCAGCAATCCAAATATGTAACTGTGGAGTGGAGATAACTGATCAATGAAATGTACCACTTCTAAAGGCCCCTTGCAGCTCCGTGGTTGTTGTGAGTCATTTTGCCAAGTATTTGGAAGTTTCATAAGTAAACAAAATGTTTTGTAAGCCTTTATCCTATAAAATAAGTCGTCTTCACACACACACACACACACACACACACACACACACACACACACACCCGAGATAGAGTACTTTACTTGCTATTAGAGTGTCGCACAGGTGTACCCAGCAGTGGGCGTGTGTGAAGAGAATGCTCAAGGAGAGCTCCCTACCACATGAGATGCTGCTGCTGGCCAGGTTTCAGCTCAGCGCGGAACTGGAAGCTCCCAGCCCAGCTCCAGTGAGGATCCCCAAGCTCAAATCTCGAAAATGAAGGAAGGACTGAGTGCTGCTGGGTATTAGGTTGTCAGAGAGGAAAAACCCAAGAAACTCATAAAAGAGGCTCTGTGTGGCAAGATGGGGCTGTGACAGTGTGAGGTGGACTCCGTTACATCTGTGCTTCTGTTTCAGATCGGGCCCGGGATACCCAGACAGATGAAATTGTTGCCCTGAAGAAGGTGCGGATGGACAAAGAAAAAGATGGTGAGCTGGGAACAGGGTGCAGGACCACCCTGCCTGGGGCATCAAAGCAGGAGGGCTAGAAAAGCACGCGTTACCTCAGTTTCTCAGGACTGCTCCTGAGGGGGGGTGTGGTGGTTAAGGGGCTGACCCAGCCTGTCCCTGCAGCCAGAGCTTGAGCTCCCTGAGCCCCGCCAGACTTTCCCTGCCTTGGCGAACTGTGAAACTGTACATTCTCTCCAAACCCTGTGGCCCCTGTCCTCTGGTGAGTTCACCGTCACTCTCCACACACACCAGTGCCCCGCCCACTCGCCTGGCATCCCTAATGAGTGCTGAAGTAAGAGCGGCGTTGGTCTCACTAATTTCCCCGACGAGGGGACAGTGTTGATGGGGTCCCAGGTGTGGTGGAGTAGAGGTCATTGACCCCTTTGGTTACAGGCATTCCCATCAGCAGCCTGCGTGAGATCACACTGCTCTTGCGTCTCCGCCATCCAAACATTGTGGAGCTGAAGGAGGTGGTTGTGGGCAGCCACCTGGAGAGGTGTGTGGTTTCCTGAGGCTATCCTACTCAAAAGGGCCCCTCTCCCGGGGTTAACCTTTCTACAGCAAGCACAGACCTCTTTACCTACTAGGAAGAAAATAGAAGGTGGCCTGTGTTGTCTCTTTTTTCCTTCTAGCATCTTCCTGGTGATGGGTTACTGTGAACAAGATCTGGCCAGCCTATTGGAAAATATGCCAACACCCTTCTCTGAGGCCCAGGTGTGTCAGGGAGGTGCTTCACCTGGCTGGTGGGCAGCTGTATTAAACGTGATGGCTGGAAATGGATGGTGTTACCCACAGCCTTTTTCTAGGGCCTTAATGAGTTGAATTATTACCTGTGGAGTACTGTGGGAGCTTGGGGACCCTGACCTGGGAGTTGGCCCCAGGTTTTCTCAGTCCATGTGTCAGGCTACTGGAAAAGAAAGGGGGACTGGAGACATGGCTCAGAGGGCAAAGTGCAGGTGTCCACACAAGTATCAAAGACTGTTGGGGTCCAGCCCCTAGTGGCCTTTTCCCAGGGTCCATTGAAGAATCTAACACGCAGCTAAGGCATCTAAGCTTAAGGATATCAAATGAATCTACATACATGAAGCTCTTTAGTCCATTCACTGTATTCTTCTGAGTCAGTTCTCTCTACACAGCTTCTTTTCTGTTCTCATACTCAGCTCCTTCTTGCCTGATTCTCTCCACATTGTTCTGCTGTTTTCTCTCAGCTCTATCTTCCTTCTCCCATCTTAGTCCCCCCAGTCTCTGAGGTTTCCAGTTATAGACCCATATAGTCAGCAAGTCTCTGGCCAAAGCAAGGTCAGAAGGCTAGAATTTTTTCAGGGTTATAAAGACAGATAAGAGTTTTTCATCATGCAATGACTGTCAGGGTTTCTGTTACAACCCAAAAGGGGAGTGATTGATGCAGGAGGGTTTAAGCTTAATTTGTACAAGAAACAAAGCTTTGTACTTAACATCCACCTGGCTTTGGTGGTTGTCTCAGTAAGATATTGACCTTATTTCATGAGACTAGCAGGTGGTCTGGATGCTTATCTACCTGCAGTCTGTCCTTGGATGTTTGAGAGTATCTCAGATAAAATCCTTTTGTCCAGAGATGACCCTGGCCAGATATTTGCTAATGGAGATAATTACAGAAAGGCACACAGTTGGAGGATGTTATCCAAATACCCCAAATATAGGGTACCAATGAATGATCAACCACATTGTTAGAAGTTCTTAGAAAAGAATCAGATGGGAAGGCTACAATAGCACACGAGAGATTCACTGCTGGAAACAGCTAATACGTTCAAAAGCCAGTGTCACCAATGCTCCTTGAGTTTTGGCTTTATCCTCTGGAAGAGCTCTTAACTCTTCCAGGTAGTAGCTTTTACCATTGCCAGCTGAATTCCTACTTCATATTTCTGTGGCTCACAGCACGTAAGGACCAGAGTTCGGCTCCCTAACACCCATATAAATGTTAGGTGAGTATGGTAGCTTGACTCTAGTCCCTGTATAAGAGAGGTAGTAGAGACAGGATTTCTAGGCAAGCTGGCTAGCTAGACCAGCTAAGTTTGGCCAGCCCTGGGTTCAAAAGAGAGATGCTGTCTCAATATATAAGGTAGAAAGCAATTGATGAAGACACTTGATGTCAGCCTCTTCACACACATGCACACACACCCATACATATATTGTGCACCCACATATATACAAAGATGTGTACCACGTGCTCATAGATATACAATAAATAAATCAGTCCATTGCGGGACTGTCTTAGCTGTGCAGGACATAGCAACAGCCATGCTCCTGCGGCTGCTGGTGACTGCCGGGCAGTGTGTCAAAGCTCTCCAGCCTGTGCTTCTGAACCTCCTCCTAGGTTAAATGCATCATGCTACAGGTGCTTCGTGGCCTTCAGTACCTGCACAGGAACTTCATCATCCACAGGTGGGCAGGGACAACCAGGAGGGAGATGTGTTGGGGGTGTCTGAGGAGTGGGAGGGAGAGGGCCAGGAATAGTTTTGGCTTCCCACAGTGCCTCATTCTGAATATCTTCAGGAGAGGAGCAAACACCCAATAGAAATTCTCTTGACTGCTCCCAGGCAAGGATCTTGGATCAAACAAGCCTGAGCAGCCCTCATATTTCTGGGAAATAGAAGGTGGGTGGGTAGATGAGAGAACAGCAGCCAGAAGCTTCAGTAGAGAGCGAGCGCCTGCCTACAGTGAGTCTCAGCTAGGAGCTGGCTGCCAGTAGAGGACCGTGAGCCCATTTGTTTGGCCGTTGTGCTGGGGCTGCTAGAACAGCATGTGGACGAAGAAGCAGCAGCAGGGTTGGAGACATGGCCTCTACTTCTTGCTCAGTTACTGAGATTGCTGGCTTCCATACTACTCCCTGCCCTCTTGATTTTAGAAGACCTCAGTTACATGCCAGGAAAGTGTTGGGCTGTGGTGACAGCCTGGTTGCCCTTTGGAACTCAGAAAACCAATGCTTTCTTTCTGACCCAGGGATCTGAAGGTGTCCAACTTGCTCATGACAGATAAGGGCTGTGTAAAGACAGGTGGGTGCTGGGTGCTGACCCACATATGTGGGGGTGGGTTGCTTTGAGCATGCCCTTAGGGGTAGGGCATGTCAGTGTAGCCTCGAAAGCCAGAGATGGCATGTCTGTCTTCCAGGCCCCAGGCCATATCAGTCCAGCTCTTTCCAGATAGCAGCTTGTCTGTTCTCATTGAGGATATTTTCTCTCCACTCTCTCCATCTACAGCGGATTTTGGCCTGGCTCGGGCCTATGGTGTTCCAGTAAAGCCAATGACTCCCAAGGTTGTTACCCTCTGGTGAGTTCCTTAGAATTGTGGTGGCCCATGGGAATGGGTAGCCTTTCACAGGACCTTTGCATTTGAGACAGATGCTGCAA